TTATTGATTTAAGTCTCTATACTATCATTTATGGTGAGTTTAGAATTTTTTATTTTATTTTATAACACAATGGGCCATGGGCCAAAGTAAAGAGCAAAATATGTATATTTTGGGTTGTATTAAATAGGTATACATTTTGAATGAGATATTCTGAACTATTTTTTGTTTATATGCAGTGACGGATCCATTTGCTCCCCCCTCCAGAAATGTAAGCCCTGGATCCATGACTGCTATAGGGGAGAGGGGGGCACAATGAGACACTAAATTTTCAAATGGACATACCTATCTCATTCAGTTTTAATTATATAAAAACAATTCTTGTTTTCTTTTGTTCCTAAACTAATATACATTTTGGAATAATGATGTTTCCTATGTAGTTTTTTAAATTTGTTTTTTTATAATCATTTTTAAAGAAAAATCAATATGTCTCAATGTACCCCAGTGATGGGGCACAGTGAGACAATAAATTATTAAATAGAAAAACAAGACGTGATATAAAAATATGATAGTTAAAAACCTCTTTTTATAATATTATTATTATAATTTCAGTCTTGAAAATGGTGTAAATATATTTTAAATAAGAGAAAAAAACATAATATCATATGATAAATAAAAACTTTATTATGTAATATTAAAATGTTTTCAGTCTTGAAAATGCTTGATACATTTTAAATAAATAACAGAACTTAATACTTAGTACCTAATTAAAAGCCTTTTTATATAATATTTTTAGTCTTGAAAAAGTTTGATACATTATAATTTAAAAAAACAATGTCTCATTGTCCCCCGTCTCACAGTGCCCCAGTGCCCCACACATCCATTTTAAGTTAGATATTTAAAAAAAGAACCTAAACTCAAAGTTTCATAGGTGTAATAAGTCTCAAAATATATTTTTTTCTATTCTAATTAATATAATATAATAAATACGTACCTTTAAAATAAATTACGCGACACAAAAAAAAAACCGTCGTCTAATTTTTTTCGTTTTGATAACAAAATTGTGGGAAATGTTAATAATCATGATACTGGTTATCATAATCGAACCATAATAGAAAAGCAAGGTATATTGATCAATACACCTTGCAGAATAGTTACTTTGTATTCAGTATTCGCACTATTCAACATTACGTATCGTAGCATATCGGTATGAACCACTATAGATTGTATTCCTCTGTTATCTATTTAGCTTGTCTCACTGTGCCCCGTGTCTCATTGTGCCCCCTTCTCGGCTTCTCCCCTATCGTTTGTTTAAAGTTCCGTGTCACACTTTAAAATATAAAAATTCTAATTAGTTTATCATTATTTTATTGTTATAGAAGCTATGTCTGGTTTCATTTCAAATTCGAATGACGAAAATACTTTTCACAAAGTAGCAGATAATTATATTCGCCATGCTCCAACCAAAGAAAAATGATAAATTATACAATTTATTGTGTGATTTTTTTTAGTGCAAGAAGCATATTTATTATAAATATTTCATTTTTTATTACTATTTTATTAAAATAGATAAAATTATTATTTTTAGTTGTATCAGAAGTGATTTTTTATTATATTATACAATTTTTTTTAATTTTTTTTTATAATATTACTCATAGTATAGGTACTTAGGTACTATAATTAATAAATATATTTGTTAAAATATGGAAGGTAACATTATTTTTTTTTAATTGTATCAGAAGTAATTTTTTTATTTTATAGGCAATACAATTATAATTTTTTTTTTTTTATAATATTCCTCATATTATTATACTTACTACAATTAAAAAGTACAAAAATGAACTTGAATAATATTATATTTAAAAATATATATTATTCTAATAGTTGTATAAGAAGCATTATTTCTATTATAATATAACATTTTTATACCTCAAGATTTTATTTTCTTATTTGGCTAATTCCTTTTGTATTTTATACTTATTTATTATGTGTAATTATTAGTATGAATATATTTTTTAACATTATTAAATGTAACCCATGCACGGTTTTTGAACTGACCACTGAATCGATTAAACATGGTAAATAAGAGCACCAATGAAGTGTTTCTGAACTGACCCCTGAATTTATTAAACACAGTAAATAAGAGCACCCATGCAGGGTTTCTGAACTGACCACTGAATTGATTAAACACGGTAAATAAGAGCACCCATGCAGTGTTTCTGAACTGACCCCTGAATTTATTAAACACGGTAAATAAGAGCACCCATGCAGGGTTTCTGAACTGACCACTGAATTGATTAAACACGGTAAATAAGAGCACCCATGCATGGTGTTTTATTTTACCATAGAAGGTATACTGCACGGTGTCGTACAAGTTAAAATTCGGTATTCAAATTTTCCAAAAAAACTTTCTGTGAACCAAAATAGCACTGTGTCCGACACTCAAAATAGATATCAACTGAACATTGTCTGAACTTGAATTGTTACTCGGGTTATGGTATATAGTATAAGTCTTATTTGACTAATTTTACTGGGATTCTAATAATTTTTAAATTACAACAATCATACTTTACAGCAGGGACTGAGAATATGCAATATGGCTAGTTATTTAGTTTGTATTTTATGTTCTTAAGAAAAAACTTAGATATTTTTTAAAAATCTATGGTTTTTTTTTTTTGGTTATAGACATCACAAAAGATCAAATTGGAATCACCATTTCCAATTATGGCTCCTCTGTAACAGAATTAACTATATTAAACACTGGCAATACTAAAACAACACTAGAATCTAGTGATTTATTAATGAACTCAGGAGCTTCTTGTAAGTTTTATAATTAATATTTTCATATGCATGCACCTCATGTGATGTTCTTGCATTCTCATAAAATATTGCATAATATATACTATTAACTATTAAGTAATTTCAATGTTTTTTTAAATTTTCTTTTAAAGGCAGTAAAATGAATGTAGTTGATGAATCGTGCAATTTGTATAGTGTATGTTCTATTGAAGATCAATCTATTGTGTCATCAATTGGGAATGTTCAAAGTATAATTTAATATTTAATCACTTTAATTGTAAAGTTTAATAACCAACCATGTTTTATAAGTAAAATTTAAAAAAAAAAAACTTTAAAAATTACTCAATAATAATTAATAGATTGACAGGTAGTTAGTAATGGAATATGGCTAGTTATTTAGTTTGTATTTTATGTCCTTAAGAAAAGACTTAGATATTTTTTACAAATGTATGGGTTTTTTTTTTGGTAATAGATTTCCCAAAAGATCAAATTGGAATCGCTACTTCAAATTATGGCTCTTCTGTAACAGAATTAACTATATTAAACACTGGCATTACTAATAAAACACTAGAATCTAGTGATTTATTAATCAACTCAGGAGCTTCTTGTAAGTTTCATAATTAATATTTTCATATGCATGCACCTCATGTGATGTTCTTGCATTCTCATAAAAAATTGCATAATATATACTATTAACTATTAAGTAATTTAAATATTTTTTTTAATTTTCTTTTAATGGCAGTAAAATGAATGTAGTTGATGAATCGTGCAATTTGTATAGTGTATGTTCTATTGAAGATCGATCTAATGTGTCATCAACTGGGGACGTTGAAGGTAATTAATAATAATAATAGGTTCAAATATTAAGTTTCTTAATCGTCAAGTTTAATAAGCAATCTAATGTCTTTTAAGTCGAAATAAAAATAAATATATAAAGAAAGTGTAGTTTAAATAAACATTGTCCAAATACATATTTTAAAATAAAACTGATAATTAATTCAGATATTACATATTTTAATAGATATCGGTAACATTGTGGATAAATATGTTATGCGTTTCCAACAATTTCCAAATGATCCATCAATAATATTAGATTCAAAAATGTCTCAAAAAGTAGTTCAACATGCCACTGATATAGTGTTCATATTTATGCCAATACTAGAAATCTGAGAGTCTATTGATATGAAACCTATTAATTTGTTTTATTTTATTTTCATGAATGTAATTTTTATAGTTATATATCAAATATTAATTATTTTTAATTTTTAATTTTTAGTTGATGTAAATATTGATGTCTTCTCAAATGATCCTGCTGATTTGACGTTGCTAGCTCCATTTTCTTACGAAAAAAGAAAATTAATTCTAAATAATGGCCCTTGTCAACCTCAAAAAATTGATATACCAAATAAAAGATTTCCAGTACATAATAGTAGAAGTTTTCAATGTTCCTGGTATATGAAAACCATGCCAGATGGTTCGGCTACTAGAAGAGAATGGATTTCTTACTCTTGTAGTAAAGATAAAATATTTTGCATTTATTGCATATTAATCGGAAATGAAAAAAGTACTGTATGGACTAGCACAGGCTTCAGCAGTTGGAATAAAGCATCTGAGAGAATAGTGATGCATGAAACATCGTCAAATCATATTGAAGCTTGTCTTAAAATTAAATTAGAAGATACATGTTTGCCTCTTTTGCCTAGTATGTTAAAAGCAAGAAATGAGTTTGTTGCAACAAATCGTACGATTGTTGAAGCTATTATTGAAATAATTTTATACCTAGCTAGACATTCCCTTGCTTTTCGAGGACATCGAGAAAGTTGGTCAGACAACTTAAGAGGAAATTTCAAAGATCTAGTTTGCTTACTGGGCAAATATCATCCTATCTTAGCTACTTACATTGTTGGGCATCAAGAAAAAATAAAAATAAGTATGATTTTATTTCATGGAGACGACAAAATCAAATTATAGAATCTTTAGCTAGTTATACTCGTACTGTGGTTTTAAAACAGATAAAAACTGCCAAATTGTTTAGTCTTACAATGGATAGTACCTTTGATAACTCTAGAAAAGAACAGTTAGCATTTGTGATAAGATATTTAAATGAAGATAGTGGAGAAATCAATGAAAGGTATATTAACTTAAAAGAATGCAAAAATAGTTCTTCGGAATAATTGTTCAATATTTTTGAAAAAATTTGTAATGACAATTCTTTAAATTGGAATGATTATTTAGTGGGATAGTCCTATGATGGGGCTAGTAATATGCGTGGTTCATACAATGGTCTCCAAGCTATAATTAGGCGTTCTAATACAGCTGCTATTTTTGTGTGGTGTTATGCACATCGACTGAATTTGGTCCTTACCGATGCAGTTAGTTCCTCTGTGAATGCTGTTGATATGTTTGGAATTATAGAAACTGTACATGATTTTATTAATTCAAGCAAGAAAATGGTTGCATTATATGAACTACATCAAGAAAAATGTTATGGTAATAAACAACGTAAACGTCGATTTAAAAGAGTTCAGACAACAAGGTGGTGGTCCCATGATTTGGCATTAAACACAGTTTTGGATACATTTGATGCATTGTGTGACACATTAGAAGAACTTCAAAAAAGTGAATGTATACGTGATCGAAAAGGAGCCCACCAAGCAAAATGTTTAAAAGAAAATTTAATTTGTGACAAATTTTTGTTAACTGCATTTATTTACAAACAATAATTTGAAATTGTTACACCTTTAAGTAAAATGTTACAAACTGTAAACATAGATCTAATTGGAGTTATAGCTGTAGTAGATGATAAAATACATGAACTAAAAAATGCCAGAAGTGATGAAAACTTTTTAAAATTACAAGAAAAAGTTGATCGGTTTAAAATGTGTACATCTGTGGATAACGAAGATTTTAAACCATTACCATTAAATCGTTTAAAGAGAGTTCCGAAAAAGCCTGCCGAAGAAACCCAAGATGAAGTCATCACTGATCCACTTCAAAGTTTTAAAATTCAAACTTTTTTTGTTGCATATGATACTGCAATTATACAGATTAAAGAAAGGTTCAGTGAAATCGCCAAGGGTATTTACAAAGATTTGTCTTTATTTTCTCGGAGACGTTTAGAAGAAATTTCAAAAAATAATGATCTATTACCTAAAGATGCATTTGATGTGTTTTCTGATGTTTACAGTAAATTTATACTGAAAGATGATTTAAAAAGGGAATATTTGCAGTTTTCTAAAAGTTATTTTAATTTTGAACAAGTGAAATTATTGCCCTTGCAATTACATAACTCTGAAATAGAAATTGATGATGACCTCAGTGGTTCATTGACTGATGAAGCATCAGAATCAGATATAGAAGATAGTTTTGACAACAATCACAATAGGCAAGTCAAAGAAGTACCAAAACTTCATAAAAATGGATGCAGTTTGTCAATTATTTTAAAGGTTTTGCTAATCAGTGGCCTATCATCTACATTCAAAATGCTTACTACTGCCTTAAAAATTGCTGTTACTCTCCCAGTGGCCAGTACTACTCCAGAGAGAACATTCTCAAAGTTAAGTATTGTGAAAAACAAATTACGCAGCACTATGGCAGAAGGAAGACTTGAGAGCTTAATGATACTTTCGTGTGAATCAGATATCAAAATTGAAACTGATCAAATAATCAACGATTTTGCTAGAAAAAGTGTATTGTTAGAAAAAACATTATTGTATTAATATAGTAATTTCAAATAATTGTATTTCCTCTTTTTAAAAATAAAATACAACTTAATTCTAGTAAATTATTTAAAAATAATTTAAAAAAAAATTACAATTTCAAGTTCCTTTACTATCTTAGTCTTACAAAATTAACTTGGCTTTTATTTTAAATACCCATCTTTGTAAAGGGTCATGTATTAAAAATGGTAAAAACTTTATTTTATTATTTTTGAATTCAACATTTTGTATACTTTTGTATAATTATATAATATGCTATAGTTTTATTTTGTGTACGCTAGTTTAGCATGTTGATCTAAGTGTATAGGAATATAATTTGATTTGACAAAAAGTTTCCTTATTTACAAGTTACAAACTTAAATATGTAATAAAAACAGTTATAAAGACAACAAATTTATGTGATAGTTGTTATAGTCATTATTTTTATATAAAAATAAAAATAAATTTTAAATTATTATTAAACTTCAATGCCCAGAGGGTCTATATTGGAGTTGCTTTGCTAATGGTTGGTGGGTGGGTGGGTGGTCATCACTGTTAATGTTCGACCCATGTTAGTAAGATTGAGTGTGCGCCACTGGGCCGCCAGTCGTAATTATGGAAAAGGTAAAAATCAATTTACTAATAAAAGTAATAGTAAGTGTTATTACTGTGGTAAACTAGGTCATTATAAAAGATACTGTAGAAATTTTCTACATAGTGTACACGGTGGTAAAACCGGTACTATAGGTCCACGGTAGTATAGTGGTAAGTATCCCTGCCTGTCACGCGGGAGACCGGGGTTCGATTCCCCGCCGGGGAGCCAATTTGACGCGGCTACGGCGGTGTTGGAGTAGCGTCCGCGGTGAGCCGGTCGCAACGTGATGGTGAGGAGTGGCGAAGAACAAAAGCAATGCGTCTGTGGTTTGATGATGGTTTGTTTTATTTTTCACACTCACTATTTACCTTGCAAGAAGCGTGGTAATACAAAATATATACATAAAACGAATATCGACGGTATCGAGGGTCGCGGTGTGTGTCGATGGACGTCGGAAACGTTGACAGTCGTGTTGTAGGTAAAACCGTGGTGTATGTCGGACGGTTGTCGAACAAGAGAACGAATTGCCGGCGGCCGGTACTCGTATTGCGCGACTTGCCTTCCCGTCCCGCCTTGTGCCTTTGTGGCTCGGTGGGAGAGTTGGCGATGTCGCGCTGTAGCCCGTGGTGGCGGTTGACAAAAACGTAGACCGGCCGCTGCGGTACCTGTACTTTGTACTGGTTGCCGCTGCGTACCGTGTCAAACTTGAATGCATTCGTAAGCGAGTCAAGAATAAATAATATTGCAACAGATGCGTGGGTACTAGACTCGGGCGCTTCGGATCTATGAGCGCAAATCGAGAGTGGTTTTCAAGTTATGAACCACTGGACAACACTCAACCAATCACTATAGGTGATGGGACAAATCTGTATGCAGCAGGTAGGGGTGATATTAATATATTATCATACGTAAACGGTAATTGGAATAAAAATTACATGGCAAACGTGTTGCACTTGCCGGGACTACAATTTAATTTATTTTCGTGCGGTGCCGCGATGGATACAGGATTAGTAATGACGTCAGATAGTAAGACGTGTATGTTAACTAAACAGGGGAAACCCGTATGCTCAGGTAAGAGATGCTGAAGGTTGTTTGAGTTAAACATCAAGGTCGAAGTACCGACAAACGGGTACGCGACTGTAGCTGTCGAAAACAGGTTGTCTGTTTGGCACGAGCGCATGGCACATCAGAATTTACAGTACGTAAAAAGTTGTTTGGCGAAACACGAAATAGTATGTTCGGACAAGGACTACGAATTCATGTGCAGCAGTTGTATAATAGGTAAACAAAGTCGTAAATCATTTAGTAAAAGTAATACGGAGTATCACAATGTCGGTGATTTAATTCATGCAGACCTATGTGGACCAATGGAAGTAAGCTCTATAGGTGGTTCAAAATACTTCTTGTTATTCAAAGACGACTACTCGCATTATAGAACGGTATATTTTATTAAAAATAAATATGATGTTAAAATTATTTTTGAGACGTTCATAAAAAGTGTTGAAACAGAAACAGGTTCTAAGGTCAAAATATTACGAACGGATAATGGATAAGAATTCGTAAATAAAGAAATTACGGGTATTTTACAAAAACACGGGATTCGACATCAGTTAACAGTTCCCTACACACCACAGCAAAATGGAAAAGTGGAACGGGAAAATCGTACAATAGTAGAGTCAGCGAGGACAATGATTTGTGCGAAAAATTTGGATGTATCACTTTGGGCGGAGGCGGTAAACACGGCTGTTTACACGCTTAATCGAACAGGAACCAGTTCAGTTAAAAATAACTCACCATACGAGTTATATTATAAGGTAATGCCAGACATTAAACACTTACGAGTTTTTGGTACTGTCGTATATACACATATACCAAAGCAAAAACGTAAAAAGTGGGACCCTAAAAGTGAAAAAGGAATATTTGTTGGCTATTCGGATAATACTAAAGGTTATCGTGTGTATTATTCGAAAGCAAATAAAATTTCAATGTCTAGAGATATTATATTCGAAAACGAAGGTAATAAATTGGAAAATATAATTGCAGACAAATTAGAATTCACAGATACTCAGACTCAAATCGAGGACGATCCGGTCAAGGTCGAACTGACGACGGTCGACAACAGGAGTGGCATGGTGCTACGGCTGCATGTTACTTGCGTCCCAAAGAAAGATATATTTTTCAGGTAGTAAATTTGACCGGTAAATTGCGTCCCGTTTTGGGGACGCAAGTCAGCCATATAATTATTATCGATATTATCTTCTAAAATCATTAAAATCGATAGTATCGGGTCACTAAAATCAATAGTGCGTTACTTACTTACAATGTAGATACAATTTATCTATGATAGGTACAATATGATAGTATATTCTATTAATAACTTAAGTGGGTATTATTTTATGTGAAAAGATATGGGAACATGCGAACATGTTATGTTCAACATCTTGTTGGTTGTTAGATTCGATAAGATAAAGCAATAACGTCGATAATTTTTTTTTTTACTCGCATTATATTTTCACATTTTACTTTTACGAGTATTCAGTACGATTTGTCTTATTAGACCAATAGTTGTGAAATAACCACTCATCAAATTAAAAAAAATTAAATAAGTTAATTTAATAAAATACGATTTTTTATATTATTATTATTAAACAAAATATAAAACATATGAATTTGTAATTTTATAAGTTTGAATTTTAAAAAAAAGCGTGAAAATTGAATATATACTCCTGAAGTTGAAAAATATTCGTTCAACTTTTATAGCTAAGGATTGAAATATACTTAATAATATCATAGGCTGACTGACCGTTTTCGCTCAGAATAGTTTTTTTTTACATTTTTATATCGATTATATCGATATTTTTGGGGACAATTAGGTCATAAAAAAAGGTGTACTGGGACGCAAATCGGCTATGACCTTTTTGAACCTTTTTTTTGCGGGACGCAACTCACCTACTGATAATAATTTCGGACGCAAGTAGTATGCTAACGGTGCTACGTGATCGGAATACGTTAAAAGCGCCGATTAAGTATAATGTGTCGTCGTTCGTCGCCAATCTCGTTGAACCACTAAATCGTGATGAAGCGATAGCTGGCCCACAGAAAAACGAGTGGGAGCACGCTATGAGTGATGAAATTACGTCACTACCACAAAAACAACACTTGGTCACTAGTTAATTTGCCTCAGGGCAAGGTTGCATTACGTAACGCATGGGTTTTCAAAACCAAATAAAAAAGTGACGGTAATATCGATAAGTTTAAGGCCAGATTGGTCATTAAAGGTTGTTCACAGAAATACGGTATAGATTACCATGAAACATTTTCGCCAGTGGTCAGATACGAATCAATTAGGGCGATATTCGCAGTAGCAGCTGTGGAAAAGTTAATATTACGACAATTCGACATCAAGACAGCATTTCTGTACGGAGAACTACAGGAAGAAATTTACATGGTACAACCACCAGGATACGAAGATGGATCGAATAAAGTATGTAAGCTTCAGCGTAGTTTATACGAAGTCCGTCATTTCGCCGCGATCGTTTCGCCGCCGGACTATTCGCCGCGACCAGTTCGCCGCCATCGTTTCGCCGCGACCAGTTCGCCGCCATCGTTTCGCCGCGACCAGTTCGCCGCCATCGTTTCGCCGCGACCAGTTCGCCGCCGTTAATTTCGCCGCCGATTTATTCGCCGCGATCGTTTCGCCGCCGTTCATTTCGCCGCCATCGTTTCGCCGCCATTCGATTCGCCACCATCGTTTCGCCGCCGAAACTTTTAAAGTGGTTGCAGCCAGGTTTTTTTTAACGCAAATTTTAAATCTGTTTTCAGATACTTCAATACTTGTAATACTTAGCAACTGTACAACACTTCTCCGCATTTACGATCTAGGACAGATGGACGTAGCCATTTGGGCGTGATGATAATAGGACGTCAACAAATAAATATAATATATAAATCAGTAAATAAAATAAATAAGTTATTTATATTTATTATAATATATAAATTAATATTATAAAATTAAAAATATATATGAAAAATTATTTATTTTTTTTTTTTATTATTAATATTATAATATGCTCCTAGCCTAGGTTGTCTACATCTAAGGAGGTTACATATTATTGAGCTTGGCTATTTTAATATGATAAAAACGTTTATTTTATAAACATCTAAAAAAAAAATCGTCAAACAAAAATTATATATATAAATAAGTTATAAATATCCAAAAAGCTTTTAATGTCAAAAATAGCTAGTTATTTATATTAATTATAATATTATCTTATGTAGTTATTTTATAATATTAAAAAAACAATGATCATTTTATTAAGTTAATGCAGAGAAATATTTTGTGCGATTCCGCGTAAAAATGATATTTCAGTTCTAGTTTCATAATTTTGAACAATTCTTAAAATGTGTTTATCCGCATCAATAAATGTCTTTAATTTTTGTACTAACCAATAACTAATAAGTTACATATAATATATTGATATTAGTATTGATATTGGTACATATTGCCAAAACGATACAATTCGAACATGTTCGATATGATACAATACATTAAGTCATATTATGAATATATAAAAAATCAACTCAACCTACTATATTACTAATAGTAAAATTAATGATTTTTATAACTATAATATCATAATTATTCATAAAATATATCTAGTAAATAGTAATGTATACAATATACATAACACACACACACATATATTATATATAATATGTACCTATATATATGCTGACGGTCTTCACTCAGAATCGTTTTTGTAAGTAATGATAAATAATTGAATTCAAATTGAATATACTATAATAAATATGATGATAACAGATAAATGATAATAACACACAAGTACCTTACAAACTAATCAACACTAATTGTCACTCATGAGGATGAAGGATGCTGCAAGATGTACGTTCTATAGTCTATAAAATTATTTATTTTACAAACCTAATTTGATTTTTTTATTTAAGGCATTCAAGATATCAGCTCTAAAATTCAGCATCACTAAGTGTCAGAACATATAAATATAAATTTTACGGAACTGATAAATAATATTGATCACGCAGTTAATGGATGGCACATATTTGTTTGATTTCATACCTACAAATAATTAATATGATACTTAATAAAATTATGATACAATGATGTGTGTTTTTGTGTGTGTGTGTGTGTGTGTGTGTCTGTACTCTGTCGTCACGTTTTAAGGCAGTAAAAGTGCTCCGAATTTCACCAGAAATTTTTCTCTTAGGAAAATGAATCTTGTTGGTACTTTGGGGGTCAAAAGTAAAAAATTTCATAGTTTTTAAACGCATCGGAAAAAACAAACAAAAAATTAAGAGGATTGGTGGTGGTGTATATTTAAGGAGTTGAGTATAGGCAATTTTTACCAAATGTTCATATTTTCAATTTCAACAAACCATCAAATTTTCAAAATATTTAGACTTTGAGTTATTTACAAGAATAATAAATTGTCAGGTTTTTTTTATTATTGCTAATAAAATATAACTGTTATGAGTGAAAATTAAAAAAAAAGTTGAGCGTAAATATTTCATTGGTTTTTATAAGTGTAAAGTTAAAAATTTGACGAAATACGTAAAAATAACGAAATTACGAAGTTTCTTTTTATTTAGAAATTCATAAAAAATTGTTAGTCAAAACCTAAGATTTGAAAATTTAACAAGAGATTCTTCATAAGTTTTCTACCTTTCTCAAAAAAAAAGTTAGCCAAAAGTCAAACTAATTTTATGAACATTTGAAATTAGACATTGAATGTTCAACCGTTTTTCCGAGAACCAATTTCTTATTATGATGTAATTTAAAAAGAAATAACCGCATACATTTGAAAATTTCACCAATTGTAAGATTATCATTTTCTGCAAATCCAACAATTTAAAAATATGTTGCCACGTTTTCAGCTAACTGTAGGCCTAAGAAATTGTTGGTTTTTTGAAAATGTAATGTATTTTTTCCGTAAGTTGTTCTAAATTTGCCTTAAAATAATAAGCATTTAAAGTTAAAATGTTGACCGAATACATCAAAATCTCGAATGTTTGCAAATTTTTTTGTAGTTCAAAATGTATAAAATATCGTAGACTGACAAACCGTCTCCGTTGAAAATCATTTTTCGTATACAATGATATAATATCATCAGTGATGGGAAAGAACGCGTTCATATGTGGTGAACTTGACATGAACGAGTTCGATTTTCAAGAGATGAACTTGAACGTGAACTAAGTTCTTATTAATTATGATTTTGAACGTTTTGGGTTCGTTCATTGACAATTTAATTTTCGACGCATAGTCGGCAGTCGTTTTCACGTACCTATTTTTTTTTTTATTTTCTTTAGTAACATTTTATAATTTTTGATTATAATTTTAAAAACTATGAACTATTCTAGATGAACTAGAACTTGAACTAGTTCATTCTAAAAACTATGAACTAGAACTTGAACTAGTTCATATTTAATGTCTTGAACTTGAACTTGAACTAATTCATTTTTAGAAAGAACCTTCCCATCACTGAATATCATTGTATTCAAATTTAACATCATCCATTATAGTGACCCATTAACTATATACAGTAGAGCAACATCCACTTACCAGCCTTTTTTTTCTATAAATGTCGATAGAACAATTTTGGTTGGGTCAAATCACTGAAAATTTAAACCGAACATCGTTAGAAACAAAATTTCCAACCATTGTACTAATCGTATTATACCTTTTAAATAATTCTGGTAAAAATATAATTTTTGTTTCTTATCTAACGACTTACCTACAACACCCAATTGATTTTAAAGAGTTAAAAATTTACTGTTTAATTTGCATAATTATTAATTTTTTTTTGCTGTACATAAGTTTTTGAGTGGGTCATTGAACAGGATAATGTATTAAATTTGATTGCAATGATAAATCATTGAATATAAAAAACGATTCTCAGCGAAGGCAAAAAGTATGATTATTCGATATTATTGATATAAAAGTAATTTATTTTAGTATATGTAATACAGTAGGGTGAATCAATTTTTGATGAAAACATTGCATTTTAAAATGTCATTGTGTGCTTAAATATTATTACATATTTACATATAGGTACTTTGTGAATTACAAATACCTATGCAATTTTATCCAAGTTTGAACGTAGAATATCTACAAAAAAACCTATGGTCATATAATTTTTAGATTTGTTGTGCACACAAATACATAATTAACTAATTACGAAAAAAACTTGTATTCAATTTTCAATCCATATCTATAAAAACTAAACATATTATTATACATTTTTAAATGTAAAATAATTTGTATATTTTCAAGATCTTTAATGAATGTTGTCAAAGTCTGAACTATAAAATATAAATTAAGTTTTTACAAAAAAATCGTGCCTATTATCGTGGATATATGTATTTTTTGAACTTTCGAACTGCTTTTACAATAACTTATAAGAATCATTGTATTACATTTTCAAGCTTATTTATCCAATGAAGATTTTTTATTCGATATTTATAAAAATGTCTTATGGCTTTAATTATAGGCTTAAAAAGAATTCAAATATTTTTAAAATTGAATGGTTTATACTTTATAGAAAATGATAATATCCAACGGCCAGTGAAAATTGCATGTTTCTACGGTCATTTGTTTTTTTAACTACGATAAAATAAGAAAATGTTTTTTATATAGTATCGTTATTTTACGTGTCAATATACAATGGCTAATTTTAAACACTCATAAAAATTAATTTGACTTTCCGGTAAATATTTTTTTTTTTTTTTTTTAATAGGTTGAAAAACTATAGAGAAATAGAGAATCTCGTGTTAAATTTTTAAATCTTTTAACAAAAACATTTTTATAAATTTCTAATTCAAAAAATAAATTGAAACCACTATTTTGATAACTTTGATAATTGTTTGGGACAATATTTAAACAAATCGGTAGGTATCTCATACTTTTAAAATATTATAATATTTTCGTAAATGCTGTTACTGGCTACGAGCTGCTAAAAACAATCATATAATATATGATATACATAATACATATTATGTATTATGTATATCATATTAGTTATTACATAATATATGGCAAATACAATTACTAATAAGGAGTTGTGGGTTACGAGAACCATATTAATATTAAATATCATTAATCATATACAGGGGCGGACTGGGCCACTGTGCAATAATTTGCACAGTGGGCCGGTGTTACCCGGGCCGGTACAAAATAATCCACTTGGTATAATATTATTATTGTTGACGATTTTTTTAGGACCTCATCTTCTATTTAGAACACCTTTATAGTAGACCAACATAATCCACTCCGATCAACTCAGTTTTAAATACTTATAAGTTATAAGTTTTAACTATGCAAAGTCCTTATTTTAATGCAAAATGCATTATTTTTTGGGAATTCCCCGACAATACTTTTCAAGACTTCAAGTACAAAATCCCTTCATACACGTACATCAAATAATTGAAAACTATTAAACTTTTACTATGCATTTTTATCAGTTTTGGTGTTTTTTGAGCAATAATCATTACAATTTTTAAGAATTTTTTGTTAATTTTTAGTGCACATTTATACAATATGATGTACATTATTTTTATATTTTAGATTAAATTTAATTGGTAATTTAAATTACGTACAGATCATTTTTGGATTGTTTTTATCGCATTTATTATACTCTAGATATTATCTATGATTTATGATTTAGAGTAGGTACAATATAAATAACATACAAATAATATTGCCTAAAATAAATTTGAATTTTAAAAACATTTATCACATGTCCTGTTTTTTACGGTGATTGGTGAGTAACCAAAATTCAAAAATAAAGTACCAAAGTCTAAAAGTTTAGGTTGTAATAGTACAGGGCCGATTTTTTTTCAATAATAGTGGGCCGAATAGGTCTCAGTCCGCCCCTGATCATATAAAATGTCAAAATCATGGCGAGTAACAAGCCATTAACGCATTGACACGATTAAAGTGTGAAACAGCCAAAGGTTAAGTTAGTTAAGCAATTTGGCCAATCCTTGAGAGAGCCAGCGAGGACCAGGTCTACAGGTATACATTTTACTACCCGGAGATTGGGCCATAAAAGTATAGCACAAAATATACAACTAATTATTATTTTGTACAATATTTTTTTATTATTACAAATACTTCCATACAGATTTAACAAAATAAATGTAATATAACAAAATATAATATAAAATAATTTATTTCTAATACTTAAAAAGGTGGGCAAGTGGATGTCGCTCTGCTGTACAGTATGTTGCAAGTGGGCCACTGTATAATGGATGGTATTAAATTTGAATTCAATGATATAATATCATTGTATAAGAAAAACGATTCTGAGCGGAGACGGTATGTCAGTCTAGGTTTAAGACATATTATATACTTATCTATGGTATTAAAAAAATAATTCACCTATAATAAATTCCAAATTAATCATATCACAATATCCATTAGGTACTTATAACGCGTTATACATCAACAACAAACCGTGATACTATCACAGATATATAATAGTTTACTTTAGAAGTTTCAAGTACCCAAGAATAATATTGTACAATCACAACAAAATAACTAAAAAGAATATTCTAGGTTTTTTAATTTGTAATTCGTCCAAATTTGAACTTAAAATGAGATTTTTTGGTAACATAATTAACTACTTACGTGGAACCTTGTTTTAAATTTTCAATCCTTAGCTATAAAAGTTGAACATTTTATAAATGACTAACTACAAAATAATTATTAAATTTTAAATTTGATAAATGTTGTCCAAATTTGAACTTTAAATGCTTATAAAAAAAAATTGTGCCTATGTATTTTTAATATTTTTCAACTGCTATTGTAAAAATATAGCAGGAGCCTTCTATTAAATTTTCAAGCTTTTTTAACCAACAAATAAAATTTGATTGATATTTATAGAAAAAAAACTAAAAAAATCGAAAACTGACAATGTCCGTAAACAGTTCAAAAAGGGTCGAATTATTTTCAAAATTTTATCGTGTATAGAAACAGCAAATATAAACAACCAGTAAAAATTTCATGCATCTACGATCATTTGTTTCAGAGTTACACCAAAAACCAAAATCGATTTTGATAAAAATCAATTTTGCGTAAAAATCCCCGTTTTTCCTTAATTTTTCTTTTGTTTTTCACGTCGCTTTTGAAAACTACTGGGAAATGTTTACTTTTGACCCCCCAAAGTACCAACTAGATTCACTTTCCTATCAGAAAAGTTACTGTTGAAGAAAATCGAAGCATGTTTACTGTCCTAAAAGGTGATGACAGACACAAAAAAAAAAAAAATAAAAAAAAAACACACATCATTGTAAAATCAATACATTCATCGCTTCGCTCAGAATCTAAAATATAATACAAAACAACTAACAAGGCCAATAAGGTTAGTCAAATAATAAATAACACCAATACAGATTGTACATATTCAAATCGACAATTGAAAGACAGGCAGGCGGAAGCACCACATATTATTATAAGGGAACCCGAGGAAAATCATATTCATATATACCACAGCCGTGAGATCTGCAGAGAGAACCTTCACGCCACTTACACGCACAAATGATTCTACGATTATAATTTATACTGTTGTACATTCAATATTTTACTTATGGTTTTGCTCTAATAAACAATCACTACTCTTACAATATTGGAAAATGTCTGGATGGTCTTATATATATGTGACAATAATCTAATAATACCAATAATACGATTATGGAGACAATACTAGGTTCCTATCACACGCGCCTGCATGAAGTGCCGGTGTGGGGGAGGAACATTATATTCAAATAATTTTATTTATAGAATTTTATCGACAAAATAATTTAATTTCTATTCAATTAGTTTACTTTTAGTAAGAAATAATCATTCTCTGTCCATCTGTTCACGACACGAGACACGAGACACGGTTTACTAATTTTTAATTTGCCTTTTGAGTTTTTTGTTATATTTTATAATTATACAATATGGAAGCTCTTACAAATCGTAACAGAAAAATTATTACCCATGAAGGATATCAATATGTTTTTGACAAGTTAGCGGCCGACACAGTCACTAAGTTGTATAGATGTCGTAGACGTGACATACACTGTAAAGGGCGCATTAGAGTAAGCCCAAATGGTGCAATTGAAGTAACTGGAAATCACGGTGGTCACGATGAATCACCAGTAGCAATAGAAGTAAGTGGAATATTTAAGTATTAATTTTTTTTGGCTTATAAGTAGAGCGCGGATTTATATTCTCTTAAAAATTGTAATATATGCAAAAATATGTTTTTTATATCAATTTATTTATTTTAACATAGAATTTAATAAATATAAAATATAATAATAAAACAAAATAATAATATAATTAACAAAATTAATAAAATAATACTTTAAAATAATATTTAATAAACATAGCCTATGTTTTCATTTTTTTTTAAACTTTATTCTTAATGTTAAATTTACAAACAAAATAACTAAAATTAAAATAAAAAATTGAAATAACAATCTTTGTTAAAATAAATTAGTCTTTAGTGGGTAGAAAAAAATAGTAACTTTAATTTATTAACCAGCCTGATGGTTCTTCTTAAATATGTAAAAAAAAAATATATATATTTAAAAATGTGCAATTACATAATTTATGTGATGAATTTATGAAATATTTCAATATATTTATTTTTAATTAGTGAAATATGCAAAAATATGATTTTATATAAATATATTCTTTTACATCAAAATATGCACTTATATGGAAAATAAAATTTTTTTATTTAGATTCTTTGTACTATGAATCGCTAACATATCTTACTCTCGTAGTTATGCATACATCCATTAAAAATATGTTTTTACATAGAAATCCGAGCTCTACTTATAAGGATAAGATTTTGACAACCATCAATATAGTTGGTCGTTACTAACGATTATCTTATATTTAATGTTTTGTAAATAGTGTATGTTTATTTCAAATATTATAGATAGCTTCGACGATCACTAGCATTAAAAAAAGAGCTTTAGAGACGATGGAGGCACCAGCAGTGGCAATTAACCAATGTATAGGTATTTATCAACAAATATTAAAATACTTAAATTGTGTTATAATCGCCCACGTAGGTAATAGGACATCCCACCTATTTTAATTACATTTAAAAGGAACCCCATCTAAACGTAGCACGTTACTCGATGTTTTCTACTTCTATGAAAATGTATGAAACTTAAATTTATTTTATTGAGGATTAACTTATTTTGAAAAATTTCTAGTAACGTGCAACGTTATGAGTTAATTTTTATTTGTTTTAATTATTCCAATTGATCCAGTATTATTACAAATTATTATTTATTCAAAAGTTTTAACAGGAGTATGCAATTTACTTATATAATAATAATACATATTTATTTAATAATAATAAATATTTTAACAACCCAAAGGGTAAGAGTACAGTAAGTGTTAACTAAAAATATTGCTAAATTAACAATTGAAAGTACCTACTAATAATAATAAAAAAAAAAAAAATAATAATAATAATAATAAACTACAATTTAACCAAATTAAACTGCATTACATGTTAAACATCAACAATTAAGTTATAAATACAAGTTTTTTAGCTTAGAACAGGATTCGAGAAAAAAATCAAAATTATGTATTAAGTTACATGATGTTGGTAGGCGGCACACCAGACTATTAATTAAGTAATTTTTATTTGAATGAGGAATAGAAAAGGGTGGGCTAATTAATCTTGAACTAAAAGAAGGTACTTTGTAATAACTCAGGACAGTCGATACCACCATTCAAGATTTTATAGACAAACGTGATATCATTTACTAATCTTCGTGTTTTAAACAACCTTAAACCCACAGAGCTCGATATCTGTAACTATAACTTAAAATTCTAAGTCATTAGGTATTTTGTTATTCAAACAAATATCTTACGAGTTTTCAATGTTTTAATTTTAATTTTATACAGATTTTTTTTCTTTTAATAATTTTGTTTCAAGTTAAGATGTTTTTTGCACAAGAATTAATCCTAAATTATGTTTTTCAGAAGGCTTAACAATTGCTGGAAAAGGGGCATTAACATCTGTAAATAACCTTAAACAAGTTGTACGAAGGGTTCGGCGGCATAATGGTCCACAAATCCCTGTTGCCCCATTAACATTGATGGAATTAGAAATCCCTGAAGAATATAAAGAGTATGAAGCTGAACCAGGGCAGTTTGAAAATTTTCTGCTCTGTGATACAGGACCTGGCCCTAATAGGGTTTTAATATTTGGACGCCAAAGAGGATTAGAGGTATAATAGTGAACATATTTAACGTAGTATTTGGATTGTTTTACGAATAGAAAAAATGGTATTTTAAAATAATATATTATACACTATTCTACTGAAGATAATTATACCTTGATAATAATTAGATTTATTACATTATTTAGACTTTTTAGAAAAAAATAATTTAAAATATATTCATTTGTATTTTGTATGTTATAATTTAGATACTTGCGACAAGCAATGAGTGGTTTGTGGACGGAACATTCAAGATCGCCCCAATCCTCTTTTCCCAGGTTTTTGTTATATTAGGCAGTCGCAATGGTGGTGTCCATCCATGTTTATATGCACTTTTGCCAAATAAGAACCAGGCAACATATAATACACTTTTGGTGGAAATTAAAAATCTAGCTCCAGGAATAAACGCTGGAAGCATTTCTGTGGATTTCGAGGTCGCAATTCATAATGCTTTTAGAACAGAATTTCCTGACATTGAAATAAGAGGATGTTTTTTTCATCTTATACAAAATATGAAAAAACAAGTTGCAGCTGTAGGATTAATGGCGTAAGTTATATGTTTAATTTTATTTAAATGGAACATTATATTATGATAAATTAATCATAGGGTTTAGGTAATTTGAGAAATATAATTCAGAACAATGCTTTTAAATCACAAAATTTGATTCATATATAATAGAATTAAAATTTTAAAAGTTTAACAAATAAAAAGCATTAAGAGGACGTCAAGGAGGACGTTAACCCACATGTGTTGTCTCTGTTCTCTTTTAAAATATATATATGACATGTTGGTTCTAGTTTTAATACCTACTAAATTAATACATAAATCCCTTTTGAATAATTGGGTATAAAAATAAGGCATGCATATTAATTTAGTAAAATATAATACCTAAATTGATATACTTAAATATAACTCCATTTTAGAGAATACAGAAATGATCCAGACTTCAATTTACATGCTCGGATGATTACGGCGTTAGCATTTGTCCCTCCAGAAGATGTAGCTGCTTGTTTTGAAACGCTGAGCATTTTTATCGAAGCAGTTTTTCCATCATTACAGCCAATCCTTGATTGGCTAGAAACTTATTATATTGGAATGCTCAGAAGGGAAGGTGTAAGGAGAACACCAGTTTTTCCTATTCCCACTTGGAATCTATATTATAGAGTTTTAGCAGAACAAATGGTATGTTACATTTAAAACCCTTTCTTCTTTCCTTCATATGCAATTAGGAAAAATTAGATTTTATCTGAAAAAATAAAAGCAAATTAATTTCTTATCTTAAAACAACATTACAAATGTATCTTTTATACATTTTAATTTCCAGTAAAAGCCTTTTTTTTAAATTAGTATAAATGAATATAAACAGTGTACGGTACTATACTCTTTTCAGAATAAGAACGCACCAGACGGCCACGGGCAAAATCGGTTTTGCTATGTAAATCTGGCGCGTTCTTATTCTGAAAAGAATCTATAACAAAAAAATATTCAAATGTGAAGTTTAAAAAGGTTAGATGAGCACATGTATTTTTGTAGAGGTATACAATCTCAATAAGTTATCTAAAATCTCTCAACAATTTAAAATTTAAAAAATATAATCCATTACAAAAATATGTTAACTTTTTATCATTTTCATTAAGATTATAAATAAATTACCATCATAATGTATAATTTAAATATTTATACAAAAACTGTTTAATTCCTCAATAACAAAATTATAATAATTTATGTACCCGTATACATAATACATATTATAATATTATAATTTTTCTTAAATTAAAACATATAAATAGTAATGATATGAATAGTAATATAAATTATAATGATATAAAGTTATAGGTAATATTTAGGTATATAAACATTTTTACATTATTTAAATGTTTAAATTCATATTCTAATTATGCAAGTTTATGATATCCAATAAATCATCCATAACAAGTTAAAACAAACTAATTAATTAACTTTAGTTAATAACTAATATTATAAAAATATATAATATATAATATTACCTTTCAGTGTTATTATACATATTTAACTCACTATAATCATATTACTGGAGTTACATTTTAAATTAGAATAGTATAATTGTAGGTACTTACAAATAATAATAATAATTTTTGTTTTTTGTTTTATGATTTGGTAATCTGTGCAAACAGAAAACGAATAATATTGCAGAAGCATCTCACAGGAGACTCCAAGCACAGTTGAGCATGTCAAACCCAACAATTTGGAAATTTATAATAGAACTCAGAAAAGTGCAAGCAGAGCGGGATATCTATTATGAATTCCTTGTTGCAGGTAATCAACCACCTCCTTCAAAAAGAAAGTTTGTTGATGCTGGAAATCGTATTCTGCACTTAGTTCAAAACTATAGAAACCGCCAAGCCATCGAGTACCTAAGAGGATTGGCACATAATTTTATAATGGATCAGTAAAACAATAACTAAATAATTCATAATAATATATCTAAATTTATAAAATACCTTTTAACATTTTCCTTTGTATATTGAATATAAATACTCATTAAATGCACTCCTAATATCTCCTCCAATTAAATTGTTAACTTTAGTTACAAGAAATCAAGGATTCGACTTTTTTCATGAACAAAACATCACCAGATTTCTTACAATAGAAGGTAGAACCACAGAATAGATGAAATTCACCTGGTGCAAATTGTATAAATGATTTTGACCAAATATTATGCTCAGTTGAGCCATCCTCTAGTAAATCTCTTATTCTAGAAGAACCAAACAAAGAACTATTTATGTTTAAAGGTATTCCTGTAGGTACAGTTGACTACAGACATTTAGATTTACCTGAAATAAACACATTTACCTATGTGTGTGGGTATTTAATGAAAAAATGTCTGGAAAAACATACCTGTGATATTTGTATTGAGTATGCTCGGTACCAAAAACAATTGGATAAATCCTTTCTACTATCATTTATTAAAGCATATTCTACTAATAACCATTCCACATTTGGAAATTTGATGATGCCAGATGATGATTTTTATAATTTTATATTTGAATTAGAGAATATATTCATCAATAACTTTCCCTCTATTGCCTATGAGGAAGGCATTGGGGCTAAGTTGAAAATTGATTTTTCTAATGTACCGTATGATCATCCCTGTGAATATTTTGAAAAATCATATTTAATAAATTTATTTACACGCTTCAGAATTTTTACAGGTATCAAATTTTTAAACAGGGCTTTAGTTTCAGAGAAGAAATTGAAAAATAGAAAGTTAACAGTACTACAACATTTATAAAACTATTTACCTTTTTTTAGATTCTGAGCGAAGCGATGAATGTATTGATTTTACAATGATGTGTGTTTTTTTTTTATTTTTTTATTTTTTATTTTTTTTTTTTGTGTCTGTCATCACCTTACCACCAGACCAGAATAAAATTAACTATTTTATTAATGTAGGCATGGGATGATAAAATAAAGGAAGGTAGGTATTAATAAATCAGAAAATAAAACTAGTATGTAATAGTACTGTTGTTATCGGTTGTTGCGATTTTGTTGGGCGAACGCATATGTGGAATTTCTCATAGCGGAATTTCTCTATTATGGCGACGATAACCGAATCATAATTTTATATGGACGAGATAGCAGAGAGCAGCCCCGTGATCACAGCTGATATATAAAATATTTGTTGATATAATTAGATAAGATATAGATAAGATACAAGGTGGATATCTCGTTATAGATGGTTATAGTGCGCTGTTTGCAATAGTGTCCTGTTTTTATCAGCAGCTGACCGGGCACTGGCCGGTGCCAGCCGGCGGATGCGTTTATTTTCCACTTTGCAGCAAGATAATAATATATACTTATCTATGCTTTGCAGCCTGCAGGTGCAAATAGTAAATACCGCCGATCGGCATATTAATTATTTAATAATCTTAAACAATTTACAACTAATACTGAACATTTATTAAAATGAGTAAAAACAACAAATGTTTTGTTCCGGGTTGTGATATTGGGAATAAAAAACATAGGAAGGAACATACAGCTTTGACTCCCAATGTTAAGTATCCATCACTTTTTGCAGCTCCTAAAAATGATTTAAATATATAAATACAATAAAATACATATATTATGTAAAAGTATAATATTAAACTAACAACGTTAATCAAAATGTATAGGATTTATTTGATGAATGGAGTAAATGTATTCCTAGAGCAGACCTTTATGTCGGACTGATAGAGTGTGTGAACGGCATTTTTTACCAATTTAAAGTGACATAAGTGACACGGAGTGGTGACCAGTACAAAGTGTCATAAGTACGACATTACGTTAATATCTTAAACCAATATTCACGTCTCGGACGAAAATATAAGCCAAATAACCGATTTAATTAAGTATGTTTATAAAATTGATATAATGTTTAAAATTAAAATATCAATATCAATATCAAAAAGCTCCAATATTATTTAAGTCAAATAGAACCATTTTAGAATTAATACAACTATATCGTCGTATAGAACCATAATATATCAACATTATCAACACACTTTTTATAAATAGGTATAAGAAATAGGTATATCATATAACGTAATAGCTAGGTACTTTTACCATTTTTTAGAATTATCCTGAATGGAATGAACCCAGTGGTGTATTGGTAAATATATTTATGGTAATACACACCAATAAAATATGTATGTAACCTAAACGATCAAATTATATCATCGTATATATTATATATTATATAACGTTATTGCAGTTCAATTAGTACATAGTTTTTAACATTATTTTATTAATTTTTTAATAATGCAACAGTAGAAAATAAAACAAAATCAACTCGAATGTCAAACAAATTAATATTAATATTATTTAATTAAATTTAGATCAATATTATTTATTTAATTTAATTTTCATACACATATGCAATACTGGGCCCCACTGAGAAAACTCGTGTGGGGGCCCAGGAGTTCGAAAAATAAATTTCGTACAGAATACAGGTACAGAAAAAAAAAGATTAAAAATTACAAAATGAAATTAGCGTATGAAGCGTACAATCTATGGAATTTTCCACAAAGATTTTTTGTATTCAATATTGGGTTTACTAAATTGAACTTAAAGTCTTAAAATACATTAAACAGTAAACACAACGCATATTGTTATATAGGTACTTATTCAATGCCTACTTCAATAGATAAATAATTCATTAATACATAATAACGAATAACGTTTTTTTCCTATATGAACTATTAAATAAATTTTAAATCTTATTTGGTTTTCTGGATATTTTAAGAGCGTTATATCCGTAAAATAAGATTTTACATTGGGTATACGCCGAAAATCGAAAATCTTCTGACGGGTATACGGCGTATACCCGCGTTCCCGTACCAATACACCATTGAAAGTACCTATCAGAATTATGATTTATCTGTACATAATATATATTAAACAAAAAATTACTTACCTAAGATGAGACAAGATTTTGTTTTATGTTCGCCTCTCAGTTCTTCATAGTATAAAATATGAACGTGAAATGACGATACAATTCAAATAATATTAGTTATATACTTATATTGTTGACCGTTGTTACTCATGATAATAAAATAATAACGGAAACACCCAGATACCCAGTACAAGAAGCTTATAAAAAAGCATGCATTTGGTTTTTAGTTTTTACGAGAATTTACTAATCGTTATCGCGGTTTAAATAATTCCGAATTTATAACTAATTCTAAGTTCTTTCTATTAGTTTCTTAAAAAATATAGTAATAAAATAAATTAATAAGTAAATAATAAGTAACTTTCTAAATTAACTTTAGCTAGTCCAAAGTCTTATGTTTGAGTAAAGCTAACAACATAAAGAGAGAGTTCTGCATAACACAAATATGCAAATAAATTCATGGCACCCTCATTTTCATATTTTTTTTTTAATTCTTAATATAGATTTGGAACAGTGTTGGTCAAATAATCGATAAATCAATCGATTTTATATGATTTTTTTTTAAATTTTAAACTTTTAACAAATTTTAAATATAAATAAAATCGGTTTGAAGACAAATTTCAAAAATCTGTTCCAACAGTTGTTAGCAAAAACTTCTCACGTTTAGTTTGGTACCAAAAACATGTTTCTAGTTTCCATGACCAACTGCTTTTTTTTTTATAGGCCTGCAGAGTACTGACGGCATCGGTAACAGTCAGTGGTCACCTGTGCGGCTGTGCTCAGTGTTGGGTACTAACTACTAACGTAACGCAAGTTACAAATTACTGTAACGCAATTACTTTTTCAATAACACAGTAGTAATTCCATTACATTTTATTTAAAGTAACGCAATTACTTTTTAAAAGTTATTTCTATGAAGTAACGCACTAATGCGTTATTTTTTACGTTACTTATTAAAATAATAGTTTTTAATGTATTACAAAAACAAGCCGATGAGATATTCCAGAAAAATTAAAAATCAATTTTACTTATTATTAATTTTTGATTCCGATGATAGTTAATGATATTATTAGAGATTCCATGAATTAATGTCATTGCTTCCATTATCAGAAAGAAAAGAGTTCGGCTTAAAAATAAAATTTAATTAAAATGAATTATGATTTACGACTTATGAGTAAACCACCTATCTACCTAATATATGGGTATAAACATATATGCAGGCTATTTATTTTGGCAAATTTAAAACTGACTATACCCATTTTAAAAAAAAAGTAACGTTCTTGTAACGCACTACTTTATTTATGAAAAAGTAAAGTAACGTGATAAAAATAATTTTAGGTAACGCAAATTTGTGTTACACCAAAAAGAAAAATCAATTTTTCCAAAAAAGTGCGTTGCGTAAAAATGTCAGGTTTTTCCTTGATTTTTTGTTTGTTTTTCCCGCTGCGTTTAAAATGTATTGAAAATTTTTTACTTTTGACCCCCCAAAGTACCAACTAGATTCACTTTCCTATCAGAAAAGTTGCTGGTCGAGAAAATCGGAGCACTTTTACTGCCTCAAAACGTGGTGACAGACAGAAAAGTCGCTCCGCTCAGAATCTAAAATGAGTAATTCATTAAAATGTACGATAAGTTTTTTAAGTTCAGGTGTCACTCCATCCAATATGTTAATTTTAAAATTAACCCCCCCCCCCTCAAAGTTCAGGTCTAAGTTCGCCACTGTTGAGACTATAGAATATATAGATGATTAAATTTTATCACAAAATCCTGAGATTTTTCATCAGGGGGGGCTATGGAAATATTTAGTTGCGCCTATGGTTGTAATCTACCTACCTATAATGCCATAAACATTATTAAATTGAAAAAACAAATGATCACATAAAATGATATAATATTTTGATGTTTTAGATTAAACAATTAGAAATTAGGTATTTACTGCTTATTAGTAACACTATTATGTACAAAGTGCATTTTTGTTTTAGACAATTGTTGTACTTATTGCAAGTTACGACAGACATGATAATT